GTCCTCCGGCAGCGCCCGCGGGAGGCGCCCCCTGACCCTCGACCTCCTCCGCGTGCGGAGCTCCTCCGTGATGTCCGTCCGCCAGGAGGACGCGAGGTCAGGGGACGGGGCCGCATCGTCTCTCTGCGAGGACTCCTTTGAGGGTGAAAGAAGTATTTCCTTTTACTGAGACCGCGGGTGTAAACTGGAATCGTCCTGAAAAAGTCAAGAAGCGTGGCTGTTGAGGCCCCAGGGTGCGTGTTTGTGAATTGTGCGTCCCTCTCCGCCTGTTCAAATCTTCGTCCTGTTTTCTGTTGGGTCATTGATTGCCCTATTGCTTTGTGAGGGTTTTTTAATATGTTCTCAATATTAATTAAGCCTGACAATATCGAGTGTAGGCGAACGTGTTGAACGAGAATATTCATACACTGCTCAGTGTGCAAATCGTACAACCACTTAGTAAAGCAACTGGACATTATCTAGTGAAGATGAAGTGTATTGTTGACCCAACACACACACTTTTAATGTCAGGAAGAAATTTGCACATGTCCTGCAGGAGACGTGTACAGGAATGTCTGCAACCAGACTTTACAGTATCAAGGACCTAAAAGCCCCTCAAATACCCATCACACGTGGAATAGACGGTATGTGTGGCCCCACACAGAGCAGAGCATCGGCCCCAGAGAAGGCGGGTGAGATGTAGCCTCACCACTCATAAAGTTAAAAGTGGGGAAAGAACTGAAAAGCTAAGTAACATGTTGTTTGGGGAAATAAACATGGAAAATGGAAGAAGAACGAGTGGGACACGTCAGAATGTTACCTCTGAAGGTCCTGGGGCATGTGTCTTAGCCACAGATTATAAATACTGTTTTGCATCCAGTCAATATTTAATAGAAATTAATTCTAGAAAATGTACCTTTAGAAGAGAAGGGAAAGAATAACAAGAACCTGCTAAGGTTTAGTAATGAAAACAGACCATGTGTGTGGCTTTCTCAGGACAGCCCTTCCCACCCAGGGTCACCCTTTCGTTGGGGGTATCACAGTCCCACTCCCCGTGCCCCTCCCTGTTCCCTGCCTTGGGCTCCTGAGAGCAGGGTCGCGATGCACCACCCTGGTGTCTGAGACATGGTAACACTCCGAGTTGTGGTCCCTGGTCTGCAGGATATTTCAGTCCAGTCCTTTGGCAGTGGTTTTTACTGAGAAATCAAGATTAGCAATCTAATTTTTGTCTGGACTGGGCAGCCTCTTTGTAAACATTGTCACGGGAAACTAGGAGAAGTTGATTTTCTCAATTGGACTGGATTAGGTTAGAAACAAGGTTTCTGAGGAGAATTGAAACATAGTTACAGACTTCAGCTTTGACTTGAAAGATTGTTGCTTTTTGCTCAGCTTTCTTATTTTCGGAAGATGATTTCTTTAAAAATATCTTAGGTAAATTGGTAAACACAGAACTGCTGGGTCCAGGTTTTACCCTTTGCCAAGCTGTCCTTCAGAAAAGTTGCATTCTGCCTATCTATAAGCAAGTTTCCCTAAAATTCTAAAAGTCTTGGCCTGTTTCACAGACAAAAAGAAATCATAGTTTTAATCTGGGTTTCTTTAATTATTGAGAAGCAGTTGTTATTCAATTCACATAATGAGTGCTCTTGCACAGTGCTGAGCCTTCTGTGCTCCATGTCCTGGGGAAGTAGCTCCATCGTTTCTGGGCAATCTTCCTGGGTACCCACTGTGGCCTTTCTCTGAATATCTCGTAATGCACAGAAATTAGCCTCAACTGGCAGTTACTTTTGCTTATTTTAAGAGTAGAATTTTCTCCACTCTTTCCTGCATATAAAGAAAATACTGTGGTTTTGCCAGTTCTGAGGTTCTTTCTCTTTTCATGTAATTGTGTGTATTGGACCTTATATTCTCTGTTATTCCCCAACTGTCCATTAGTGTAGTTTTGGGGGACCTGGAGTGACAACTGAGGTGTTTATTCTGAGGAGGGCTCAGAACCAGCGGTCCTGGCATCTCCTGGCTTCCGGGCACGGCTGGCGGCTGGGATACTCAGAAGGGTTACTCAAAAGGGCCGAATTCCCTTCCTGGTGATGCCACTTAACAGGGATTGTGACGAGTCCTGTCACAGATGGAAAGCTGACGAGGTTGGTTGTATTTGTCTTTGTTTCAGAGACCATGGAGGATGCTCAGGGCGCCAACCAGAGCCTGACTTCGGAGCCCCAGCCAGCTGAGGGGGAAGCCGAGAGCATCTCCCCGCAGGCGCCCCTCCAAGAACCGGGGCTGCTTTATCAGGAGGAAACCATTGATCTCGGGGGAGATGAGTTTGGGTCAGAGGAGAATGAGACCGTATCAGAAGATTCTAATAATTTCGTAGATAAGCTTAGTGAGCACATGATGGAGAGTGTCCTCATTTCTGATTCTCCGAACAACAGCGAAGACGACACGGGTGACCTTGGTGGGGTGCAGGATGTTGCGGAGCCTGCAGAAGGCAGTGCTGACCACAGACAAGACAATGTCATAGGTAAAGGTGTGGTCGACACTCCCAGTCAGGACAGTGAAAGTGATGGAGACGAGGCGTCTGAGGACGTTTCCGACGTGACCTCCGACACCAGGGCGCCCTTGAAGGAAGACCCAGAGCCAGAAGGGAAAGCTGCACCCACCTGTGAAAATGAAGATGCAGGGAGCCCAGGCCCCAGGCTCCAGGGTGCTTCCCCCGAGGGGTCTGGCCCGTCCTCCACACAGCCCTCTCCCAAAGACGAGCCCGTGCCCGTGTGCACCATCTTCAGCCAGTCCCAGGCCACGGCCTCCCAGCCGACCCCCTTTCTGCAGGATGGCTTCGAGTCACAGATGGTAAAGTCGCCTAGTTTCAGTGGCGCCAGCCAGCCAGCCTCCAAGACCCCTCCCCAGGTGGTCCAGCCAAGCCCCAGCCTGAGCACGTTCTTTGGAGAGACAGCCAACACTAACTCCTTGGCCTCGGACTTCTTTGATTCCTTCACAACTTCCACGTTCATTTCCGTCAGCAACCCCAATGCGGGGGCTTCCGTTCCAGAGCTGTCCTCGCTCGCTCCCCCGGTGGGAGGGAGCTCCCCGGGGATGGACGCCCCTCCAGAAACCCCTCAGTCTCCAAAGCCATTCTCCCAGATCCAGGCTGTGTTCGCAGGGAGCGAGGACCCCTTTGCCACGGCCCTGAGCATGAGTGAGATGGACCGGCGGAGGGATGCCTGGCTGCCCGGGGAGGGGACCAGGGACGTGCTGATTGCAGTAGCGACCCAGCAGTACAGCACCGTGTTTGTGGACAAGGAGAACCTCACCATGCCCGGCCTCAAGTTCGACAACATCCAGGTGAGGCCTGTTTCCCAAGGACGTGCTCGCTGGCAGTTCTGACCTCCATGAAATAGATAATCCTGTGTCCACATCTCAGTCACATCTGCTTCTGTTGTTTATATAAATATATACCATGTATAAGAGCAAACATTTTTTATATGCATGTATAGGTAGAATGTCTTTTTTGTACATCTGTAATATATAGAGAGTACTTTTTATATACACATATAAGTAGGATGCCTTTTATATACATATATAACGTACATAAGTTGAGTACTTTTTGTATACATATATAACGTACATGTAAGTAGAATACCTTTCCAGCATTAGAAAATCCTATTTTCCAGGAGTTCCTGCGATTCTGATTGAGAGTCTGTGTTATGTCCCTGGGTGATTTAGAGCCCTGTTGATTTCCATAATAGAATTTAAGGTACTAGTCACAGTCTTACAAATGAATCCACCGAGGTAGATAGTGACCTTGTAATTCTCTGAAGTCACTCCAGACTTTGTGTGATCGGTTTATTTGAAATGTCTGGGCTCCAGTAAATGATAAATCTCCCATTCTTTTTTGCTTGTTTGTGTGTTTGTTTTTGTTTTTTAAAAGGCTTAATTCACTTAATTTTTCTTTTCTTTTTTAAAAATATATCTTCAACATCAGCGGGTCTGGCTTTTAGCACCTACTTTGCAAACTATCTGCTGTTGACAGTGAACCCACCCCCCCAACTATAATTCTGGGGAAAATTGAAGGTTGCCATGGAAATAACTCTTAACCCAACCCAGTGGCTCCCTGGAGGGTGTTGGGACCCAGGGGTCCTTGGGTGCCTTTGGAATGTGTAGTGTCTCACCTTGGTTACCAGAAGGGCTGGGTGAGCACATGATGTTAGGGGATGGGGCCAGTAAGCTAAGTACCCTACAGCGGGTGGGTAGTATCATACAGTAAAAACTCCAGCATTCTCGAGTTGAGAAAGTGCTGCTGAGTTACACAGTGCTGAGTTCTGTGCTCGTGTAACCTGCTGAGTCAAGCTCAGAGGTCAGCTGAAGCTTTCCTGTACCCTGACCACACTGTAACCTCCATGCGGCAATGATGGCAGTGGGTTCTGGTCAGCTGAGTTTAATGAACACTCTGCTGTCCTGACATATTTTTCGTATATTCTTTCCAGGGAGATGCAGTCAAAGACTTAATGCTTCGTTTCCTGGGCGAGAAAGCGGCCGCGAAGAGACAGGTCTTAAACGCCAGCTCAGTGGAGCAGTCTTTTGTCGGATTGAAACAGCTCATTGTAAGTAACAATGTGTTTGATTTTCAGTATTGTTTTCTTGGTTAGTCCCGCCTGCTTTCATAATATTTTCCCTGGAGTTAATTACCTTGAATACATTACCCAAAGCCTTGTACATAAGTAGAATTTTTTTTAGAATAGATACCAGTCCTCTGTAGCAAAAAGCATCATATTAACATACTTTTAATTTTACGTCCAATTGGTTTAAAAACCATTATTTTAAATGATCAGATTACTTGAAGCAGCATGTACTTTGATTAAATATGCTTCATGAAATACGATGACTAGAGATAAATAATTTTATTTGGTATAGGAGGCTTATTGCAGGGGTGGGTTTACAGAGATGCACACCAGTCCTCCTTCATGAACAGAGTAAATGCAGAGATGTCCTGAGTGGCCTGTTCCGGTTACGGATCCACTGTGTCTTGCAGAGCTGCAAAAACTGGCGGGCGGCGGTGGACCTATGCGGGCGCCTCCTCACCGCCCATGGCCAGGGCTACGGCAAGAGCGGGCTGCCCACCAGCCATACTGCAGACTCGCTGCAGGTATAGCCCCTTGGGTGCTGCATTGTTCTTGGGTTTATTATATAGGGGGCTAGAGGGACTGTGACCTTTCATGCCAGTAAGAACAGTTTGGAAACAAAAAGTGGATTTTCTTATCCCGAATTCAGTCTCAGCGCAGTTGCAGAGCCACTCTTTGGTCACAGGGACACTGGGCTGGGAGGGTCCAGGGGCAGGCCTGGGCCTCGGAGAAAACAGGGACAGGCGTCACCCACAGGGAGGACTCAAGCTTCCTCAGGGGCTTGTTCTCTCCTGTGTAACATCAGTTCTCAAATGAAAATGCAGAAGTAGAGTGTGAACAAAAAGAAACTGGCCTGACGGGGAGCAGCTGCGGAAGTCCTAGATTCTTGCGTCTCCCAGGGAGCTCTCCACAGACTCCCCTAGAAACTCCTAAACCAGCATTTAGGGGAATTACGGGAGGACCGGGTGGTGTGGGTATTTCAGGCAAGCCCATCCCCAGTGTCCCCCTGCCCCCCAGAACAGCCACTGGGTGGGGGTCACACGCTGCCTCCTCACCCCTCCAGCCCTCGGCTGCCCACACGGCTGCTGTGACACGTCCTCTGTCCTCTGAGCCTCTCAGCCTTGGCGCCCCGCCCCCCTCACTGCAGTGCTGTCCGGCCTCTGCTGACCCGACTCCAGGGCTCTACTCCCATTTGTCCAGTACCCTGCCACCAAATAATCTGCTCCGAGTAGTGTTGATCCTCTCACCTTCCTGCTCAAAAGCCAGGCGTGGCTCCTCCTGCACACCTGGGGAAGCGTGGGTGCTGCTGTGTGACCTGAGCAGTCGCCCGTCTCTGAGCCCTTTTTCGTTGGCAAAGGAGACTGAGTCCGCTCATTTCTAAGGTAGCTTTTAATTCTCAACGTCTCTGATTCTGTAGCTCTCTCGTTTGACTTTCCATTATTTTTAAAAATATTTTAATTTTTATTCATTGATTTCAGAGAGAGGAAGGGGGGGACAGAGAGAGAGACATCTATTTGTTGCTCCACTTACTGATGCATCATTGGGTGATTCTCGTATGTGCCCTGACCGGGGATTGAACCTGCAGCCTTTGTGTATCAGGACGGTGCTCCAACCGACCGAGCTCCCGGCCGGGGCCTCCCGTCATTTTCATGAAGGTGCTGCTCACACACTGCACCCTTCCTGCTGAGCCAGTGTCCTGCCTCTGTGCCCAGGCCCGGCCCCTCCCCGGCCTCCTCCCTCCCCAAGAGCAGCTGCGTCCACAGGATCCTGGGCTGCCTGGCTTCCTCTCCCTCCCGTGCCTCTCCCACCCCGGGAGAGAGTAGCTGTTTTATTTTCATAATACCTTGCATAGTTCTCTGCACGCATACCCTGCTCAGTAAGTATTGTCTAGTGAAATCGAATCAAGTGAAGTCATTCCCATTGTTAGAAATGTGTAATTTTGCAAACGAGCAAAGGAAGTCAGTTTAGCCTCTGTTTAACACATTAGAAAATGAGCTCTGATGCCCAGCGAATAGGGAGTGGAGGGCCCAGGCGTGATGTCCCGGGTAACCTGTTGTTTCCATCCTGTGTCCAGCTGTGGTTTGTGAGGCTGGCACTGCTGGTGAAGCTGGGCCTTTTCCAGAACGCCGAGATGGAGTTTGAGCCCTTCGGGAACCTCGACCAGCCGGACCTCTACTACGAGTATTACCCGCACGTGTACCCGGGGCGCAGGGGTAAGGCGCCCGCACCGGCTTGTGCTGTTTTGTTTGCTCTGCTCACGATTGGGTGTCCTCAGTTTCCTTACCTTCCTAGTCCTGGGAAATCTTTCTGTGCTGTTTTTCCTTAAAGCTCAGACGCTTTCTGTGGAGGGTTACAGGGCAGGAGTCCGCCTTCTCCGTGCTCAGAGCTTCAGCTGTCTCACAGGAATTGCTGTGTCACTCTGCCTTTCCCAGAATTGAAGGGGGTTTTCACAGGGTCTCTTAGACCTGTCAGCCTCACAGTATTAAAATTCTGTGTCTTCCTCCAACTAAGGGAATTTATGCCTTGTAGAAAAGAAAAACATGGAAAAGGTAGATTTTAATACCTAAAATGGCAGAAATCAGACCAATTGTCTTGACTGGTTGGCTGGATTGGGTGGAAGTGGACCAGCCAGGCTGCTAGGGTCACTCAGGAAGGGATGGCTGGAGCCCCAGGCCTAACTTTGTAGGACTGCCAGGTGCAGCCAGCACCTCCAGCCCACCCCACCTGGTGACGAGTTCATAGGCAGAAGGTAGGACCCTCTGCCACCTGGGCTGGAGCTGGTGTTGGGAGGTGTTTGGTCCGAGTACACAGGCCGTCTCTCCATGGCTCTGAAGGACCAGGTACCCTGAAGCTGCACCACGCACTCTGGTCTCTTGTCCTATAGTGTCCACATGAGTTGTGCACTCAGAACAACTAGTCGCACACCAGTTGATTAAGAGTGAGAGAGATTGAAGATGAGACACTCTGGTGGCTGGGAAACTGGCCCTCGTGGTTTCTAAGCTCCTGCTCTGAGTGCCGACCACCCCGTGCTGGGCCTGTTTGTAACCCTGGTTGTGGAATAGCTGTAACTCAGCTCTGCCCTCGTCAGTGTGATGGGGATGACACCAAGCTTCCTGTGGTGTGAGGAGTAAAGTCCCAGGGTTCCTGTGTACAGCTCCCTGTCACCTTTCCCCTGACTTGGAGAACGTTTTTCCTGAGGATGAGAGACTATGAAGCACGCTTCTGAAGCCGCCTAAAATTAAATTGCGCTGGGATTCGGATAAAGAGAAGACAGTGGCCACGAGTCATTAAGCAGCTAATTTAAATCATGAAGTAGACATAAATCATACGTATCTTCTACCTAAGTGCATAACAGTCATCCACAGTGACTGCGGGATGCTTACTAGTTTTTCTTCTCATTTTGTGGTGTGACCAGCATGAATGTAAGGTTTTTATTCATTCGTTTCATTTCAGCTTGTGGTATGTAAGCAAACCAGTCGTTAAAATGCGCTTTAGAGAGGAGGCTATAGTGATGCAAACAAATAACTTTTATGAATGAGCTTTAATATCTGCGTTGGGTATGATTTTACCTGTTCAGAACATTCATAACAAGACGTGTAAGGAGTCAAAAGTAAAAACCACGTTTGTTGTGGTTTTATTTGTCATCCGAGAAAGGAACAGTGTTGTAGTCCCCTACATTTCTCTGATTCCTAGCAGCTTCATACAGTTCCTTCCAGCCTCACCGAGGACAACGTGAGTGTGCCCATCAGGGTGGCCCCCTCCCTGGGTTGCAGGGAGGAAAGGTGGCAGTGAGCGGTGACCAGGCCCGGACGCCCGGCGGCGGAGCTCTGAGCAGGCTAGGGTGGGCGCCTGCCGGCCGTGTGCCTGTCGCTTTTCTTCCATGTTCCTCTCCCTCTGTCCTCCCTGTGCCCTGGTCCTCGGGCACCCGAGCCTTGCTTCTTTCTTGCGCCGCGTGTCCCTGTAACGCAGGCCAGAGGCGGGGTAGCAGCTGCTGGCCTCAGGCTGGTGCTCAGACTTCAGTCATTCAAAGCTCAGAGTCTGCGTTTGAAAACCACGCAGACTGCCCGGACCTTCTGTTAACTCGAAGTCCCCCACGCCCTGCGGGACAGGTCAGGGTTACACTTGGCCAGGGAGCTGCCCCACCTCTAATTGTCACGTGGCTCAGGAAGCTGGATCAGTGCTTGTCATGCAGGTGGAAGGTGAGAAAGCGGGATGAAAGGGGAGCCTCACTTGCACAGCCCAGGGAGTATGCAGCCACCTCTGGAAGCCACTGCCAGCCCCTCGGCCTCAGCACCAGCCGCACCCACAGTTAGGGGTGTTTTTGTTTGTCTTTATTGTTGGCAGCTTCAAAATTGCTGCTCTCAGGGCTTTAAAGTCCCCCCCCCCCACCGTGTTCCAGTCCAGGAGCCGTGCTGACTCGCCTTGGCTGTGATACATTGTAGTTACTCCGGGCTCGCTCTTTGATACATTGTAGTTACTCTGGGCTTGCTCTTTGCGTTGTGCGTGTTCACTGTACTTTATCTTGAAAAGAAGATGAGACGCCCGCCCAGGCCTGGCTGGTGGGCCCGTTCTGAGGGCATGGACCTCAGCCCCCAGTGGGACAGCTGGCTCCTCGCCCCAGCCCAGCCTCCTCTTCTTCGGGTTCTCTCTCCTACTCAGAAGAAAGAGCAGTGGCGAGAGAGCGTGTAAAATAAGTCACCTTCTGTGTTCACAGTCAGCCTCCTGTGCCACTGGAGGAAGCGGGGAAGCCAGAGCGCTTTCCACTGGAAATATGCTTTCATTTCCCTCCGAGCCTCTCCTCACGCTGAATCCATAGCCGTGTGTTTAGTGTCAGTGACTAGAGCTGGAATGATTTCTGGTGAAATCTCATTTCAGAGCTTAATCCTCATGGATTACCAAGCCACACAAGTTGATGAGACAGGCACTTTAATCGGACGCTTATCTCTCCTCTTCCTTGGACTCCACTCCTCTGGTCGCTGGGCCTTCAGTCCCTTTCTCCCCTCCGCCCAAAATCATGAAGCTCACGTTTCTAAATTTGGAAACATTTTATCAACACCTGACTTTATTCACGATGTCCCCCACATTCAGGAAAGAAATGGGTAAACTTTTCCCTCCTGAGCAGCAGTGGGTGCTCATTCCCCCTCGGCACACCGACTGATGGAGCTGGAGGTGCCGGGGTCCCCCTGTCCGGGCAGCCCTGGGTGCTGGAGTTTCCACACCCAGCTCCTCTGCCTCCTGCTGGGACAGCTCTGAGGCAGAACTTTGGCTCCAGACGCACAGGCTTGCACACGCCTGCACACATACATGTACACACACTGCAGACTGGCTAAAGCCCCATCCTCAGGACCTGGGCCTCAGACACTCACTGGCTTAGCCCCCTCTCCTGGCCCTGTGTCCCCCACACCCTCACGTGCTGGCACATCCTCCCTGTAGGTCCTCCTGGGGAACCCGGGCTCACCCTCTTAGGCGAGCCTGCAGTGTGGAAGATACTGAGGAATCCACCGTGCTCTGCACTGTCCTGGGCGGGAGGAGGGCCGCCCTGCTGGTGCCTCAGTGTGACGGTGCACACGGCTGCAGCACAGCTGTGGACGCAGGAGACACCCGTCTGGCCCTCTGATGACTGTCTGGAACACGCGTACACACTAGAACATGCTTATGCACCAGAACATGCTCACACACTAGAACATGCTTACACACGGCTCCACGTGCACCACAGCCGGCACCGTGGCAAACCACCGAGAGAACACGGTCCTGTCGTCCCTCTGGCTGCAAGGCCTGCACACCCCCTCCCAGTGCCAGAGCAGGGGGCGTGCCTGTCAGCAGCTAACAGCCCTGACCTTGGTCGCAGGCTCCATGGTGCCCTTCTCGATGCGGATCTTGCATGCGGAGCTGCAGCAGTACCTGGGGAACCCCCAGGGGGCGCTGGACCGGCTGCACCAGGTGAAGGCCGTCTGCAGCAAGGTACGCTTGCACGCGGCGCTTCTGCCATCCCCCCCCCGGTGCCCACCGCCACCTCCACCTCGGGAGGGCGGGGGCGTGATCTGCTGTGACCGTGGTACTGTCCTCGCTGAGATCACTGGGGGGCAGTGGGTGGATTGGGGGAAGCTTGAGTCCTGAATCCTTTGTAGTGTGATGGCTGATGGAGCAGAAAAGCCCCCTTCCGTGTAGAAACCACACATGTGCCCCGCGTCCTATGCACTGACCCCAGCGAGTCCCGGCCAGGGTGGCCGCCACCCGAGTGCTGGGCAGCGAGGTGGGAAGTGCGTCTGTGTGAAGCGTTCCTCACAGGTCGGCTCACACAGCTGCTTCCCTGGGAGCGTGTGACAGTGTCCGGGAGTAGGTCCCCGTGTGATGACCTGTCCTCCTCTGGGATTTCTGCAGATCCTGGCCCATCTGGAGCAAGGCCTGGCCGAGGATGGGAGCATGAGCAGCATCTCGCCCGAGAACAGGCAGGGTCAGTGTCGGCTCCCCTTGTTGCGGAATCGCCTGGGGCTCCCAGAGCACTTGGTCCACAGGGTCGTTTGGTTTCATTCCCTTTTTCTGTGTCACTTGATAAGCACTGGTCACCCTCCCCTCATTCCAGGGCAGCTCCTAGAGGACTTCCAGGCGGGGAGTCAGTGGAGAGAAGGCTGACGGGGAGGGGCAGGCCCACGCCCGTCTGGACCCATGGCACAGAGGCTGGGGGGGAGAAAGCGGGCTTCAGGGAGTGTGAAGATGCCCTCGTGGGGGGCGGGTGACAGCTTGCCAGTGGTGCCTCACATGTGCAGGGGCTTGTGACCTTTCAGCACGACCTCTGTGCCCTTGTCATACTGATCATGACAAAACTCCAAGCTCCATGATGCAGGCAGGAGGGGACTCTTGTTTCCATTTGAAAGGTTAGGAAACAGGCCTGGAGAAGGCAGAGCCCAGTGTGCTGACATCCCAAGGAGCACCTCCCACAGGTCAGGGCAGCAGGCCCTCCCGCCAGTCCACTTTCTCGGGTTAGGTGTTCTCAGGGTGGCCTCTGTCCCTGTGGTCTGTCCCCCAAGGCTGATCGCTGCCCTCCTGTTGTTGCTGCGTCCCTTCCATGGCCAACTTCCCAGAGCACTGCCCCAATGGCATGTGCTCGCACCCCCTCAGCACCGGGGGGTGACGGGCCTTCTGAGTCAGCCACAGCCCGTGTCCGCTCACGCACCCTCTCTTGCAGCCTCTGTGCAGCTGTGGCGCTCCCGCTTGGGCCGTGTGACCTGCTCCATGGCCAACTGCCTGCTGCTGATGAAGGTGCGTATGTCCTGGGGCCCAGGAGGCCCCCCAGAGTCAGGACACACTCGGGGCTAAGTGTGCTGTGCTCCCTGGGGCCTGGGGGGTCCCCCAGAGTCAGGACACACTTAGCTAAGTGCACTGTGATTCTGCTACCAGAAACCTTGACAGAAGGGAGGGTTTTCATTGTGGAGTTCGTTTGAACGTGGGTCTCAATGACTTGATTAAAACCATCGTTCAGCCCTGGCCAGTTTTGCTCAGTGGTTAGAGCGTAGTCCTGCGGACTGAAGGGTCCCGGGTTCGATTTAGGCCAAGGGCACGTACCTCAGTTGCAGACTCGATCCCCAGGCCTGGTAGCTAATCGATGTGTCTCTCTCATGTTGGTGTTCTCTCTCTCCCTCTCTCTCTCTCTCTCCCACTATTTGAAAAACAATGGAAAAAATATCCTGAGGATTTAAAAAAAAATGAAAACACCATCATTCATGCTCACACAACCCCCCCCCCTTCCCATCTCTGTCACATTTTTCTCTGAATTCCACCCTAGAAAGGTGGCCTCTGTTCTCTCTGTGGTAGAGGGGTGTTTCCCCTTGTCTGGGTTTGATTGGATGGTGGACGCTTATGGCACCTGGAGCCAGGCTTCCCACCAGACCTGTTTTCCCTGGCCAGGCACCACCCAAGCCACCGAGCTCCCAGCCAAGGGGACAGCTTACCAAGCCTGGGGTGGGGCTGACGTGCAGGGTCCTTTGTTTTCTCCAGTCTCCTCTGTTCCTCAGGTAGCCCCCCCTCACTTAAACAGCCCTGTCCTATGGCTACTCCCTGTGTTGGGAACCTGCAGCACCCAGCCCAGGTCACCCCTGCCCGGTGGGTGACCTGCACTAAGGGGTGGCCCCAGCCACCTGCAGGGCTGAGTGCAAAGCTGCTGCAGGAATCAATTAGCCGCAAAACAGGAGCAGCACTGTAGACACCTGGGCCATTAGGAAAGGTGGGAGCCCCCGCAGTTCCTCAGGGTGATCTCACAGAGCAGGCAGTTAGTTTACCAAGTGGGGAACGTGCCTGCAGGGCTCTGTACTTAACCCTGACATGGCCGCCGCGTGTTGTATCCGTGGACCCTAGCACCTGTGAGGACCGTGCTGGGCGCAGGGAGGGCTGGCGCAGGTGTAAATTCAGAGCCACAGCAGCTCACCCATTTGGTCACAAAGAGCTGTGGCCGGGACCCACTGTTCAGCCCGCTATTGGGTAGCTCCCATGTTGGCACTCCACCTTCCACGCCCCCTTAGTGTGTGACACTGGGGTGCAGGGTGACCTTGCAGCTCCCTTCACACCCCTCAGAGCCTCCAGCTCTGTGTTCTCCCAGCCCCCTCAGCACAGTGAGTGAGGAAC